GCACAAACAATACTGAGTTTATGAAACTAAAACTCTGTTTTTTGTGGCTGAACTAGTGTATACTTTTGGAACTTAAAGTGAGATAGATATACGTTTAATATTTGTTTAAAGCGAGAAAGAGAGTTCTAGAACAGTCTACTGCAGGAACAGAAAACAAATTATAAGATTAAAAGCTTCAAAAGAAATATCTGCAAATTTATTTGCGTTCTGTAAATGATATGTGTATATATAGACGATGACAGATGCCTTGATACCTGAAATTGTACGAGTATTGGGACATATTCAGAGCATGTTCCGTCTCTAGCTGATGTATAAATATCTAGAGACGGAGAGCGTACTCTCAAGCGTTTGAGCGAAACACGATACCTACAGTATTCCTATCATCTACTATTAACACAGTATAAGTACATACAGTGTGGACACTGAGCGTCAGCACCTTTAATGTAGTCCAGGTCATATGACTCGCTGCCATATTGTGGATTGAAAAAGGCGCTTATAAATTTGAGTTTTATAAAACTACAGAATGATTTTTCTAAAAAAAAAGACATAATTCGGTCGTGTTATGAAAATTATTTATAACGAGTATTTTTAAATCAGAATTATATAATAATATAATGTTAACGAATCATTATATAATATTCACATTGATAATAATAATAATATTAAATAGTAATAAGTAAATTATAAATAATAATTGATTAAATACTATATGAAAATTGTAATTGAATAATTATGTATGAAAAATAATATATTGCATAAAAATTGTAATTAAATGTGAAGTTGTAATTTAATAATATACGTACACAAATGCATATATAATACTTTATTAGAGATACGAGAATACTTTATCGTATACAAATATAACAGTCTACACAATATAGTGTCTTCGAAAAAATTTGATTTAATTTTTTAGTAATATTTAATTTGATTAATTATATTTTATGGGAAGGATATCCAACTAACCTAACCTAATCTAACCTAACCTAATCTGCAATTTTAACTTACCGAAGGTAACCATATTCTTGATCGAAAACCGACGCATGCGCACTAAAAATTGGAGACCACATAAAAAGTTCAGTGTCCATACTATATGGCCTGTATTCAGAACGCGCTTTTATCGATAAAAACGTGCTTTTATCTTTGAAATTCTATAGTATGCGTAATGTAAATTATAGCATGTTAACGCGCTAACATCGTTGTAAGCACGTTCTGAATACGGGCCTATGTACTTATACTGTGTTATTAATATTTCGCTCAGCGTTAATATACACGTCATTTGCAAATCAATATAAATCTTTTTCTTTAAGATTTTAGTCTTAGTTTTATAAACTCAGTATCGTTTATGGTATAAACAGTATTATTTGAGCATGTAATACGCTTAGTGCTGTACTGTCGTTTGGCCCTACGAGCTATAAAACTTTTGTATTAAGGAAACATCTACATCAGATGACAGCTCTACGAATTGAAAAAAATATAAGTTTTTAATTTCTTTTTTCGATTTTAATATAAAGTCTATTGCAGCATCATCAAATTTAGCGTTTACATTAATCCTATAAAACGATTTTTGATTCTGTTCAATAAATTCGGAGCTTTATATCGATTTTCAAAACTCCGAGAATTTGGCTACTGAATAAAATTTGATTAAATCAATGGAATATTAAAATCAAGACATTCCAAGTAGCACAGCAATACTTATAAAAAAGTGATTATATATTATATATTATATATATTATATATTATATATATTATATATTATATTTATGATATATATTAATGCGCTTTTATAGCGCTTTGTTAATGCTTTGCAAGCGCTGTGTTACTTGGGATTTATTGTTGTAGTTGTTGTTAAACTGTAGTTGCATTAATAATTAATCAATCTAGTATTGATAAATATATTCAAGGCTCACCTTTTTTTTTATAAAATCTGATATGATATATAACGTCTGATTGAACTATTTAGAAATAATTTATGTAATAGTCCTTTTTTTAAATCTATTGTGTAAAATGTAAAAAGTTTTATTCGTAACTTCTTTATAATATTTCTAATAACATTCTCGTGCATCAAATAGTTATTTCCGATATATTTTTAATAATATCAATTATTTATTTAAATATGCAACGTCATTTTGATTAATTTAAATTTCAAGTGGAAATTACTTTTTGTTAATCTTCTTCGAGAAAAAAAATCGTTGAAAAAAGATGATCTTTGAAGTTGTGGAAATGATATCTTTAAGATTTTGAATTGTTAATTTATCATTAAAGCGGTATGATTCAATGTTACGATCGAGAATAATTATCTTTCTGTATTAATGATCTGTTCATTCGCGATTTTAATAAATTTATTTTTGATCCTTTATATAATAATGTATTCATTTAGTAAGAATTTTTTTGATAAGGATTTCTACGAGGATAGTTTGTCGAAGATGAAAAGTTCTTGACTTGATACAAAAATAATATCACAAATCAATTTATTTATAATTTTTGACAAATTTGATTCTATTAAACAGGACTATTAAAATTTTAGACAGATGCGTTTATTAGTTTCTTTGTTTTGATCGTATAAAGTAATAAACTTTTGATTCCATTGTGACAATTGCATCCGCTCATACTTTTTCAATTGCAATCACAAATACCCTTGTATTATTGATTTATAAATACGTTTCTAGGAAGCTCAGAAAGCGATTTACGCGCTCTGAATAAATGTTCTATTCTATTTTTAGTATGTAATTTAATAAATTTACATTTTCTAGAATGTATAATACTGTTTTTTACTGTTTTTTATCGTTATCTCGTCATCTTATTACTTATTATTATATGCAATGCGATTTATTATTTATGTTTGTAGAAGTGTATCTCAATCTCTTCTCGTAATACATACTCGTGGCATGATTTCTCAAATATTCCAACGCAACAATTTAACGCAACATTATATAAAATATTTAATATTACTTTAAATACAAAGCGCCACTACGATCTGAATGTTGAAATGTTGAACTATTATATATATTCATATAAAAATTAATTTCAGAAATGATAATTGCCGATATACTTAATATTCTTTGCTCGCTTTGACATTGAACTCGACGCGCAGATAATTTTTTTTATATTTTCATTTATCTTAACATAACATTTGAAACGATTACGTTATATGTTTTTTTGGAATAGCTTGTCTGCCTTCATCCGCATTCTTGTGGTTTTCGCTCAGCGGCCCTTGATCCTAGAATCACGTAGCGGTCATTTCAGTCTCCTTGAAAATTATAATTGCAAGGCTCTCAGAAAGTACAAAACATGTTTCATTTCCGGTTTTCTTGCACACTTGCAGTGCTTCATGGATCGCATCTCTGGCAGTATTGCGACACGGAAAGTTGATTAATGATTGATTTCTTCGTATGGATGAAGTGGTAAGAAACGAGAAGCTGAAACAGGGATGAGATTCATTTACGTTGTGAAGATATTGCATGCAACGAGATAGACACGCAAGTAGGAAATAACACGGGATCTATCACTGCAGATAGACGACGCAGTGATCAGTGGGGTATGGGACTACGTTAGTTTTAGTTTTTACCGTTACTTACTTTGCCGTTACTTTTTAAAACAATGATTAGTAAAGACATTGCAATTTTTTGTGACGGTAACGATAATTAATTAAAAGTTAAAAAATTGGGAATATCACTTTTGAAAAGAGATTTGTTATTATTAAGCATTATTGAAAAAAGTAACTCATTTCTTGTGATGCGTTGATTTTTAAAAGTAACAAAGCGATGCATCTTAAATAATTAACTACTTTTTTCAATAAATAATGCATAATGATAAAAAGTCACTTTTTAAAAGTAATATTCTCACTTAACTTTTAATTAATTATCGTTATTGTCATAAAAAATGGTAACGTTATTACTAAATCATTATTTTAAAAAGTAATGGTAAAAATAATTTCCATCTCTTGCATACAAAGAATGATATTTACTCAGCGAAATGATTACTTTCTAGTTTAATAATTAATTTTGTATAATAAAAATATATATAAATTAGTGACCCATACATTGGGTCAAAAATTTAGTATGCACTTTAATATGTTAACCATGTTTATTTAATCTAACGAAGACGATTATAGAAATAATTATAGAAATAAAGATTTATATCATGACGAGACGGTTATCTCTCAATAAAAATTAATTTTATGAAGCGAATCATTGGGTAATTTTAGAAATTTGATTTACTCTTCATGTTATTGGAACAAATGTGCGGAAAATTGTTATAATTCGATGTAGGAACTATAAATTGCTATCTCGGTACGAGAGTGCAAAAACGCGTTAAATGCATTGACGTTTCTTCGCGAAATCGATGGAACCGACGATTCACACACGCTCACTATTCGAGCCCCGACGCGTTTCCCTACCACTGACTCTCAATGGGCACTCGGTGGGTTCTGGTGGGCACCTGGTGGTCTTTACTAACGGCGGCACTACATCGCACTATCTCTTTGCTTGCTATTCGACAAATCGTGGACCGCGCGTACACTCAAACGTCACGTTGGGTATCTTGCCTTCATCCTCGATCTCTTGTGTTTTCTTTTCTTTCCTTCACCTTTTTATCATTCTTTTTCTTTGTTTTCCTTCTTTTTCTATTCTTGTTTTTTTTCCCCTGTTCAGATAATTCGCTATTCTCTCTCTTCTTCTTCTTCTCTCTCTCTCTTTCCTCTATATTGACGAGACGAATTAAAAAGGGGATTTGCGATTGTCCGCCAGGATTTATTCGCGAAGACGCAACGAGTGATCTTCGCGTCAAGTGCATTTGCGATCTTTATTGTGATTGATTCTAACTACTGCAGAATCGCCTTATTTTTATGAGAACGAAAAGACGATACGAGTTACGAATTTTGTGATAACAGAAAGTGAACTTAAAGAACTATTATGACATTTTCGAATTATCTTCGAATAAATTAAAAATATTTTAATTTGTTTTGAACTTTTTGATAGCTTCCGGTCAAGATCGCTGTATCAAGAAGGGTAGAAAGTTACGAAATTTTATGACGATTTTGACTTAGAAAGATCGAGGACATTGGAATTTTTCGCATAGAAGTCAAGACGTTAAATCTGATAGCAAGATAGAGAAATCTGTCTGGCATTTCTTTCGCCGTTCTTTCCACTCTCTTTCTTAAGCTTGTGAGTTATATAAAGAAAGATTTTACTGGTCAGTTAATGAACCCGGTTGTGCGTGCACTCAAGGAACATCCAACAACGGTAACGACATCGAGGACGAAAACGACGAGGACGACGATTGAGCTAGTATTACGTAAGTAAATATGAATAATTTGTCATCTGAAAGCGACGAAGAATGTAGCCCAAGAACACGATCGGATAATGCCGCATTGCACGCATTGGAAAATATCGAGTGAGATTGAAGTGATCTGTAGAAATAAACGCAACAAAAAAAAAAATTTTAATGTTACTTCATATATTAAGAGAAAAATTTTTGATTTCTGTAATTGCATTATAATTATGGGGATTTATTTACATATAAATATAATTAAATATATTAATAATAACAACTATATATAAATATTATTATAATATTATTATAATATTATAATAATAATAAAAATAAAGCTACCATAATTATTTATCATGCATTTACAGTAACAAGTATTAAAAACGTTTTTCTTAGAGGTCTAATTTTGACATGTTAGTAAAAGAACTAGAAACTATTAATAATTTAATTAAATTATTGGAAAGAATAGAAAAGAAAATAGATAAAAGCAAAAAATTAATAGATCTTTTTTTTTTAACTAAGT